CCACTGCACTCTAGTCTGGGCAACAGAGTGAGACTCCAACTCAAAAAAATAAAAATAAAATAAATAAAATAGAAATGCTGCTTCCAGCATACATAGATTCCATCTGCTAAAGTAGAAAAACAAGAATTGACTTTAAATATGTCTTTGTTGACATTGATCTTTTCTACATCACAGATAATACAACTGTGTGTCCCTGGTCCATGTCAGATTTCCATAGTGTCCTCTATCACGGAGAGGCTCCTGCCAAGAGAGCTTAGTGAGGAGATAATTGTTGCAGTCCAGCTGCAGAGTGATTTTCCCACACTCACCCCACTCTAGAGGGCTGACGTTTATATTTAGAGGCCATACGAAGGAAAGTCTGATTATTGGATTTGTTAACTTGGGCCATGAAAGCTTTTAACCTTTCACTTGCTCTTTTTTGCAGGACCCTGATGACCGAAACAAAATGTCATTGTAAGTGCCTGTCTTTTCGACCTGTTTCCAAATCTGCCTTCTCCTCTCAAGCCTGTGATAGAAATCTAAGAAACAGCCAGTAACCTGCTCCCTCTCATTCCTTCCCTCCTATCAGAGTTATTGAAAGCACTCGAAATTATGGTTACAATCCTTCTCCCATGAAGCTCGAAGGACTCCGCCGCCCACCTAGTAAGACTAGCATGCGTCAGAGCCGACGGCTCATGGCATCCGCGCAGTCCAACCCTGATGTAAGTGAACTTCTTGAGCTGTACCTTACCCAGCTTTCCGTTTGAATGGAATCGCAGTAAAGGAACATAGAACATTCTCACCTTATCGAGTCCTTCACCATGATTACTGTTAGGTCTTTTCTCACTTCTTTGGCCTTCCTGGCTCGTTTTATCAGTATCTAATCTTCCTCTTGCCATAGTCTCAGCCCCTTCCTGCCAAACCACAGGTAACAGCGAGTACTTGAAGAACCCCTTTTCATTTACTCATCTTCCATTTTACCCTTCTGTTTCTCCAGGATGTCCTGACACTTTCCAGCAGCACAGAAAGTGAGGGGGAAAGTGGGACCAGCCGAAAGCCCACTGCTGGTCAGACTTCAGCTACAGCGGTTGACAGTGACGATATCCAGACCATCTCCTCTGGTTCTGAAGGGGATGACTTTGAAGACAAGAGGAATATGTCTGGTAGTCTGGAAAAATTGGGGGAGTGACAGGAAGAAACAGTAGGAAAGTTGGGACAGAGTATTTTTTTAAGGAAGCTAAAGAAATGGGGTTGGGGGGACGTTGAGATCTTAAGAATTGAGGCTTAGCCGGGCTCGGTGGCTCAGCCTGTAATCCCCCACCTTTGGGAGGCTGAGGTGAGTGGATTGCCTGAGCCTGCGGGTTCAAGACC